ACCTATCGTAGTAGGGAAATCCGCGGGGGATTTAAATATCCCCCGCGGCATTTAAATAAAAATGTCCGCCGCTTTTTTCCGGCTTTTAAAAAAGCCGAAAAAGAGCGTCTACACTGGCCCCGATCCTCCGGAAAAAGCGCCCTTTTCCGGAGGCTCTTATTCCTACTTCGAAGTAGGAATAAGAGCCTCCGGAAAAGGGCGCTTTTTCCGGAGGATCGGGGCCAGTGTAGACGCTCTTTTTCGGCTTTTTTAAAAGCCGGAAAAAAGCGGCGGACATTTTTATTTAAATGCCGCGGGGGATATTTAAATCCCCCGTGGATTTCCCTACTACGATAGGTGAAATTTACATGCCCCTTCTGGAAAAGGGGCCAGTGTAGACGTAGCCCTGATGTATAATAAATCCTCCGCTTGTTTTCACCTGCATCCAGAGTGTCCCGGATTATTTCCAACAATAATAAGCCTGTTTTTCTCTTTGTGTGAGTTCCATTTTCCCCCCTTGGTGCTGGTAGGACAGACAGGTAAGGCCTGCGTTTCCCACCTGCTGCACATGGGAAACCAGTGAAGGCCGTTTCCTCTCTCTTTGCTGCCGAGGAGGTAGACAGGGGAATTGTTACACTGAGTGGCAATGTGGTGAACACCCCCATTGTTAACGGTGCTTCACTGTGTCCCTGGCCTGTTCTCACTCACTGTACAACTTATCATCAGGTCAAAGTGCTTTCCCCCCTCCCAGTAAGTTGCTGGCTCAGACAGTCGGCAATGGGGATTTAACTAAAAACCAATAAACAACAAATGGGGGGGGGGGAGATTATTGTATTCATCACCTGCGTATTAATATTCATGGTACGGAGTTCACCTCGCTACATGAGGGTTATGGGGAAGTGGTGATCCACGTGTGAATTTACACACGAAAGTGGATAAAGGAGTGGAACTGCTGCCAGATCTTGGCTCTCAGAACGTGTGCTGGGGGTCGAGGTAAATGCGTATAGCAGTAAAGTGGTTCTCTTTATTCCTCCGCTCCAGAGTCTCCTGTGCGCGCTTCTTCTTCTTCCAACACACGTGTCTAGTCTATTTGTGTGCCTGTATCGTTCTGGTCTGTGAAGTTAGAAATATCACGGGGGAACCTGTTTTGTTAGCCCAGCAATACGAATCAAAGCCACTAGTGATACCTTAGGAATGTAATGCCTTGGTGATCAAACCAGTGACTCGTGAGTGGTTCTGGTCCAAATGGGGGTTGGCCCTAGAAAGACGTGTGGCCAGACCACCTGATGCTGGGACCATTTTGCATGTGGCACTTTCCCACTCATGGCAAGAAGAGTTTGGACTGAGCACAGAGAATTCCTGCCTTGAGCAACAAGGTGTATTACAGGGGGGACCAAAAAATACAGGTGGGTGCCAGGAGATTCCCACTTACCACTTACGATGCCAGCTGGACACTCCTAAGACTGCGCAGGAGGAAGGATCAGGCCCAAGGTCAGAGGCTGCCTAGCTTGAGAGAGAGAGAGAGAGAGGATTAGAACAGCTGTTTAGAGTGAGAAGTTCCATATAACAAGTTTTAGGGAACTAGCTGGCGAGATTTGTTTATTTTGGTTTTGTGCTTGTACTGCTCTGGTGTGAAGCTGTTACCCCAACTCTGCACTTCGGCTGGGGGAGACCAGCACTTCTAGGGGTGGGGTGCTCCTGAGAGGATGCATGGGGGCTCAGTGGCTTGATCCCTCCTCCGAATGAGAACCCCAAGGGACCCCTGTGATCCCACTCATCACAGTGTGGATTCTGCTTCAGGTCCCTGGTCTGGTTTAACCGGTTCCCCACCCTGGTTACAGACAGGATGCTAAGAATTATTAAGAAAGGGATAGAAAATAAGACACAGAATATCTTACTGCCCCTGTATAAAACTATGGTACGCCCACATCTTGAATACTGTGTACATTGCTGCAGGAGGCTGTGAAGGCTAGAACTATAACAGAGTTTAAAGGGAAGTTAGATCAATTCATGGAGGTTGGGTCCATGGAGTGCTATTAGCCAGGGGATAGAAATGGTGTCCCTGGCCTCTGTTTGTGGAAGGCTGGAGATGGATGGCAGGAGAAAAATCACTTGGTCATTGTCTTCGGTCCATCCCCTCCGGGGTACCTGGTGCTGGCCACTGTCAATAGGCTACTGGGCTAGATGGACCTTTGGTCTGACCCAGGACGACCGTTCTTATGTTCTTATTTGATTGTGCAAAGAAAATGGTGCCTAGAACTGTTTTCTATCACATGGAAAGGGATGGGGCTATACAGAGGGATGCTATACTGCAAACTGAAAGCAGGGGGAGAACTCTACTGTAGAGTGATCACTTGGACTGTTCAGAGGGATGCTATACTAGCAAGTGACCACTGGGGGCAGTGAACCCAGGGCAGAGCTATATTGCAGGGTGACCACTGGGGGTCCATATGAGATGGGGTTTGACATGTTGCTGGCCTTGGTCTCCCTGTTCTAAGCACTTCCTCTGCTGTTGGCTTCAGCAGAGCGGTAAGGATGAGGAGAAAACCCTCTGGTTGTGGGTGAGAAATGGCTGCTGCACCTAGGGGGAAGGAAGGAAAGAAAAGGCCCCTTTCAGATGGGGTGGAAGATCCCTGCAGGACTAGGATGGGGATGAAAGATGCCTGCTTGAGCTGGGATACCTTATTCTAATCACTCCGGACCTCATTAGCACATGGAGAATATGGGCAAGGCAGGAAGCAGACCCCAGAAATGTATGCATTATGGGGAATAGGACCTCTCCCGACTCTGCCCAGCCGGCATTGCAACGCATGATTATTCCTTTTCTTTGAGCTCATTCTCCACCAAATGGGCCCTAGAGCCAAGGCCGTGAACATTTGAGTGTCTATTTCTATCACTTTCCCACCATCTCCAGCCCAGGGACCGTTTAACCCTCCTGCCTGAGGAGAAGGGCCAGACACAGCGGGGGTGTTGTCAGCTCCCCACAGCGCAAGGCGAGAACGAGGTAATTCCGCCTGAGGGAGAAGCTGTTTGTCACTCCATGACGAGTTCCCGTTTGCACCTGCTGCTCCGTGCGGCCTGAGCCCTTTTGCCAGTCCCTGCCTCCCAGACACCCAGTGCCCAGCTCCCTCCCTGTGCTGGGAAGACGGGAAGCATCTCAGCAAGAGACGCTCTCTGCTCGCACTGAACACGGGGCTTTGTTAAACTCAGGGGAACCGGATCCATTGTCCACAGCGACCCCACCTGCCTCTCTGCCGCTCCAGACCAGGGCCTGCTCCATCCCCTGGCTGCCGATTTAACCCACAGAACACGTACCCTCCCTGAGCTGCTGCCCAGTGCTTCATCCCCCAACCCAGTCTGCCCTTGCAGCCCGCCTGGGAGTGACCCTCTGTCCGACTGCGCCAGCAGCACAGCAGGTGAGCCAAGCGCTCTGCCTTGCTCTAGAGAGTGGCCACGATCCTTGGCTGCCAGGGGCACGTCACACAAACCCACTGGCGGCGCATAGGACAGCGCCAGCAAAAGCCCTTGCCAGGCTCTGAGACAAGACCACTTCCTCCCAAACGCCACTGAGACCCCAAGTCTCTCCCTAGCGATGTGCAGCATAGGCAGCTCCATGGGGTCCCACGGAACGGGGTGCCAGGTTTTGGGGTGCCCTGTGCAGTTGTGAGGTTGCAGCGCTGCTGCCTTTGGCAGCCAGGTCCTCCCCCACCCTGTTCCTCCATAGCCTGCCTCCACCAGGGCCATCTCAGGGACAAACCCTTTTGCCCCACTCCTCTCCACACTGAACTGCTCCCCCTAAGCATCCCCCACCTGCTCTGCCCTCTCCCTGCACCCACCCCACCCTGCCCCACAAGCCCCCTCCCCTGAGAGACGGGATCAGGGCCACCCCCCCCACTCACTGATGGGGCAGGAATGGAAGGACCCAGCCCTGGCCTGCTCTGCTCTACTACCTCCCAGCCGTGACTCTTCACTTCCTGCCATTGGTGAATGGGGGGAGGTTCCCACCTTCCCTTCTCCCCAGCTGGTCTGTGGGGCTGCTCAGGGCAAGCACTCAGGCAGGGGTCACTGGGTGAGGATCAGGGCCACCCCCCCCACTCACTGATGGGGCAGGAATGGAAGGACCCAGCCCTGGCCTGCTCTGCTCTACTACCTCCCAGCCGTGACTCTTCACTTCCTGCCATTGGTGAATGGGGGGAGGTTCCCACCTTCCCTTCTCCCCAGCTGGTCTGTGGGGCTGCTCAGGGCAAGCACTCAGGCAGGGGTCACTGGGTGAGGCTCCGCAGTTGCGGAAAGGCAAGAGGTCAGACCCAAGGAGCAGCATTTTCCCTCCCAGCTGTGAACCTGGCTGTTGTACAAGTCCCTCAGCCTCCAGGCTCAGGAAACTGCTTGCCCCAGGCTATGGCTACACTGCAGAGCTTTTGCGGAAACCAGCCGTTTTTCTGCAAAAAACTCGTGGAGCGGCTCAGCTCAAGTGCCTTTTTGCACAAGTAAATCCAAAGATCAGAGGGGTTTTTGTGCAATTGGTAACCCTCATTCTATGAAGAAGAAGCTTTTCCGTGCAAGAACTCTTGTGCCAAAAGGCATGCGTGGATGGGGAAGGAGGGGGTTTTGTGCAAGAAGAGGAAAGAGGAAAAAGCACAGGTGCCCTGGTGGCCACACTGTCCACTGCTTACATGTGGGAAAGCATCCAGGCATCTGGACACTCTCTTGCGCAAAAGCACATCACTGTTTCAATACACTTTTGCAGTGTGGATGAAGGACTGGCCTTTCCGATGCACACACAGACACACACACTCATCCCTCAGGACACAGGGGGAGCCAGAGATAGAAACCGTCACTAATCGCTTGGCTGCTGGCTGTGGGGGATTGCCCAGGATGGACACTCTGGCTCTGACTCTGCCTTCCTGCGCTGAGGCCTCTCATGCTCAGCCGCTCAGGTGCCCGGTGGGTTGTTACCCAGCCCTGGACTCACACCGGGGCCCACTCTCTGCTCCCCATTTTCAGACGCTGCCGTTCCGCTGCACTCAACATGGGGCAGGGGCAATCACTGGGCAGCCTGAGCTCCGTGCCAGGGAGGTTTTCTTCCCATTTAATACCTCCCTGCCCCCGACACCGCAAACTTCTCCTGGCCCCGCCCTGCATCACAGCATCCCACACTGAGCTCCCTCCCTGCACTGCATCCTCCCCTCTCCTGTCCCCACAGTGCAGCACCAAGCATGGAGCCCTGCAGCAGGGCAGCAAGTGAATGTATCCACCCCCCCCAGAGGCCTACCTATGCACCCCAAATTTCTCCTGAGCCCCCGTCAGCCCTCCCCGCTGCCCCCCCCGCCCCCTCCTTCACCAGCCCCGAGACACCACCCCTGCAGCCCAGCGCCCCCCACAGACCTTCATCCAGCTGTCTGCAGAGCAGCGCCCAGAACCATCCAGCCCCCCTTCCGCAGCGCAGCACCCTCCACAGCCCAACATTCCCTGCAGTACAAAGCCCCCCATGACCTCACACCTGAACCTCACACCCCCTCCTTGCAGCAAGTGGGGCCCCAGCCATTCCCTGCAGCACAGAGCCCCTCCCTGACACTCAGCCCCACTGCCTGTGGCACAGCACCCCACATGGAGCCCACTCCCTAAAACGCAGCCCCCCGACTGCCAGCCAGCCTGCTCCTTGGGAAACTGTGGGGGGGGCAGCTACATCCTCTCCCTCCTGGCTGCACCGAGCCTTCCACCAGCCTCCTCCCAGAGGAGCATCTCTCACCCACAGCCCTGCACTCACTGTGCTGCTGAGCAGGCAGGTCTCCAGTTGCGATCTAGACACGCCCGTCCCGGCCTCCTCCTCATATAGGGTATGTCTACACTACAGCGCTAGTTCGAACTAACTTAGTTCGAATTAGTTAATTCGAACTAAGCTAGTTCGAACTAGCGCATCTAGAACTAAAAACTAGTTCGAACTAGCGTTTTGCTAGTTCGAACTAGCGCGTCCACACTGATTGGACGCAGGGGGGCATTTAAGGGCAGCTGAAACCGGTTCTGGCAGGGCATCAGGTCAGCAGTTGCTTTGTGTGGCTGCTGTCTGAGGCTATCTGAGGCTCGTGCTTAAAGGGACCCCCCTGGACAGCCGGTTCTCAGCTTTTCCTGCTTGCTTGCCAACCTCACCAAGGGACAGCAAAGCGTCGGTCTCTGTGCCCGTCTGTGCGGGGGGCCCCCCCGCAGGTGCCACCATGGAGCCACAGCTCGCCCTGCACCTTTTGGTGCACGTTCTGGACTTGCTGCTGCAAGCCTGCCACCAATGGCTCGAGGCTGCCTGGCACCACCTGTCCGCCTGGCCGCCCTGGGGGCCGTGGAGGAGCCGCGGCGGCGCCCCGGCACCGGCGTGCCCCGCCGCATCTGGCGTCTGGACACCAGCAGCGACTGGTGGGACCGCATCATCCTGGAGCACTGGGACGACCGACAGTGGACCCAGAACTTTAGGATGAGGAGGGACACCTTCCTGGAGCTCTGCGAGTGGCTCGCCCC